AGATGTAATAATAATAATAATAATAGTAGTTTTTAATTTTAGTAGAAGTTTTACGGCGTTCGCATCTGCATAAGATCATATGAGCACCAGAAGATTAGAGGTGTTACAAGAGAGTAACAAACATAAAAAAGAAGAAGGGGAGATAAGGACGATAGATGTTTGACAGGAAAGAAGAAGCAAACCACACCAAAGCACCCGCCTATCACCCACTAATAATAGTAATAGTAATAATAATAAAAGTAATAATAATAATAGTAATAATTATTATTATTATAATTTTAATAAATAGCACTTGTATTGTGCATACCCCAGCTCCACAGCAAGCTCTGTGCGTTTTACACTATATTATTACTCCAGCAGACCCTAGAACACTCGGAGACACTCTCAGCTTCCCTGGAAGCATAGAATGCAAGCAGCCGATTAGGTGCTTAAACATGAACAAACTAACAAGAACTTTCGCTCATCAAGATGTGCGTGTTGTTCAATAGTTTCACAACGTGCATTCTCTGTCCTTTGATACATCAGTTAATTTGGGTGAAAATTTTGCACCATACAGTGCTTGGAACTTTCACAGGGCGGATTGGGCACTATATAAATTCCCACTGTCATCATTATTGTTATTATTTTAATTAATGCATACCCGGTAATGAGACAAAGTGGTCATCAGGATGCAGAGGGCTGCTGTTGCCGCTTCGCAGCTGTCGTGGTGACCTGACGGGCCCCGCCTCCAGAGGGTTGACGTGACTTCCTTCTCCTGCAGAGCTGCACGTGGCACTGGCCGTTCTCGCCTGGGTATACGAAGACAGAAAATTACACTCACAAACCTCTTGATTGAAGGAAATTATTTTACAAACCTCATGTTTGAAGGAAAATTCTCACAAATCTTTTGTTTGAAAGAAATTATTTTCACAAACCTCTTGCTTATTTGAATAAAGTCTGGGTGTATACAGGGATCATTACTTTTACAAACCTCCATTTTTGGTTAATTTTTATTATTAGAGTTTAACAGGCAGAAGATCATATAGCGCTGAAGATTAGAGTTGTTACTTGGGAGAAATTTAAAATGAAAGGAAGGAGGAGAGATAAGGACAATAGACATTTGATAGGGAAAAGGAGCAAATAATGCCAGAACGCCTGTGTGTGTGTGTGTGTGTGTGTGTGTGTGTGTGTGTGTGTGTGTGGGGGGGGGGGGGGGGGGGAGTAAGCCTAATAGAAACAAAAAAAGAAGTATGGCCTACACATGCTACACAGGGTGCCCTCCAACAGTCCCCAAAAACCTTGAGAATTATAAAAGGACATGTCACCAGGAAAAAAGCATATATCAAGGGGGTGGCGGTGCAAAGAGGGCATACATTATAGACACAGAGCAGATACAACTAACACTGATACTAATATAACAGGCAACACCACATAGGCTTCAGCACTCTGAAATATATCAAAATTCTCTTCTATAAAATCTTTCACGACAAAAGCTAAAAACTTGTACTTTGATCTTTACTGTGTTACGGCATTTGCAACACACGAGGGTCAAGTAAGTGCTGAAGATTAGAGGTGCAATAAGAGAGTAACAAACACAAAAAAGAAAGAGGAGAGATCAAGATGATAGACGTTTGATAGGAAAGAAGGAGCAAACCATATCAGAGCAACCACAAACCACTCAATATCACATAATTAAAGATGGACATTTAAATGAAACCTTAAAAAAGAAAAAAGGGAAAGGACTTTTAAAGTTGTGGCTGTCATAAAAATAACGCCCATATTTGGCAAGAATAGTAGAGAAAGCAAGTTAACTGAAAAAAAAAATTAAAGGAGGAGACCATACCAGAACCCATAACAATCACCTGAGATAAAAGAGAACAGAAAAAAAACACCCCAGCTTTTAAACCTGAGTAGACTCACTTTAGAGCGTTTCGTAGATTTCTCTTGTTCTCTCAGCCAGTGCAAGTACGACTCTCTGGCCACTTGCTCCTCTATAGAGTCCTGCGTTACTTCCCAGTCCGTTTCTCTCAATTTGTCCGCGAGCATAGTCTGCAGCAACACAGAGCAGAATGGCACAATCAACATCAGACACACACAGAAGGACATGGCACAAGAATTAGTTTTTAGTTTTAGTAGAGGTTTTACGGCGCTCGCAACTGCATAAGGTCATATGAGCGCCAGAAGATTAGAGGTGTTACAAGAGAGTTGTTGTTTGTTTGTTTAGTATAGGGTTTTACGGCGCTCGCAACTGCATAAGGTCATATGAGCGCGCGGGACACACCTAATACTTTTTCGTTGGTAGGAAATTTTGAATTTTGCCCCCGTGGCGGCCGAAGCCTACTCTTATCGATTTTAGACCACCAAGGGATCTTTAACGTGCGCAACTTGCACACGGGCCCTCCGAGATTTTTCGCCCTTGTCCGAGAAGGCTAGGTGTAGATCTTTCCTACCAGAAGATCAGGGGTGTGGCAGAAAAACAGCAGTTAGGAGGAGCCAAGGAGAAGCAGTAGAAAGGCTGCAGAAAGAGTCAGGAGCCCAGAGGAGGGGGCAAAGGAGGTGAGGGGGTGGGGGCAGAAAGTGGAAATGAAAGCAGACAACAGAACATTGTTAGAGATCAGGAAAGGATGTGAAAGGAGACAATTTTAGAGAAGAAAATTTTTTGG